CCCTGGCACTGCCACCGTGTCCCTGTGTCCCTGTCCCTGCCCGGGGCTGCTCCTGGGAGGGCAGAGCCCAAGGTTCTTGCTCAGCAATGTGAAACCCGGCCAGCCTTGGATGAGCAACCCGAAACTGCGGCCAGGAGGGAGCTCTGGGAAGAGCCTGGCAGCGTTTCAGGCCAGCCCGGGCTGCGTTTCAAGCGAGCCGAGCGTGACCTTTGCATGATCATGGGCTGGAATTTTAACGGAGAACGGGGAGTGAGTTTCAGGCAAAAAAAAAACCAAAAAACAAACCAAAATTTAAAAAAGTTAAAGGGTTTGGGGGAAAACAATGCGGCTCTGGGGTGGTTTGGGGGTGATGGTTGCTGCTCACCTGCCCCCAAACCAGCAAAACCAGCCCGGTGGTTGCGGCTTGGCTGGCTCGGGGTTTCACTGAGGGTTAACCCTTTCCTGAGCACGCAGCTGCTCCTCCCGGCCTTCCCTGGGCTGGATCCCAATTGCTGGCCCTGTGCAGGGTCGGGGCTGTACGTGAGCAGCTCAGCGTTCCCAAATCCCCCTGAGCAATCCCCCTCCTTGGACAGGTGGGACCCCGCAGGAATTCATGGAAAGGAAGGAATGGATCAGATCAGGGACAGCATTTTTTTAAAAATTTTATTTTATTTTATTTTATTTTATTTTATTTTATTTTATTTTATTTTATTTTATTTTATTTTATTTTATTTTAATTTTATTTTTTCCCACTATTTTTCCTGCAGTCTCTCCCTCCCTGCCCTGCTGCACAGCGTGTGATGGGTGTGCATCGGGGCAGGGAGGATCCTCCTAATCAAAGCCACGTTTCTCTGCATTGTCTGGGCTGGCTCACGGGGAGATCAGCCAAGCCCCTGCACTCGTGATGTTCCAGTGCTGGATTGAAAAGCTGCACTGAGNGCTGCTCAGCTTTGCCACCCTCTGTTTATTTCTCTGTGCAAGCTGGAGATGTGTGAGTGCTGCAGGCTGCACAAAACCCGGGCTTGGGGACAGCCTGGGTGTGCAGGGAGCTGAAATCTGGGAGCGGAAATCTGGGAGCAGAAATCTGAGACCAGAAATCTGTGAGTGGAAATCTGGGAGCAGAAATCTGGGAGTGGAAATCTGAGACCAGAAATCTGGGAGTGGAAATCCGGAACCAGAAATCTGGAAGCTGAAATTTGGGAGCAGCAATTTGGGAGCAGAAATCTGGGAACAGAAATCTGGGACCAGGACTGGGTCTGGCTCATCACTGAGCATCCTGAAGCTGCCAGACCAGCCAAGGAATTTGCTCAGAACATCCAGATTTTGCTTGGAAGCAGCAGCAGCAGCAGCACCTTCCCAGCCTGCTGCGAGCGCTCCAGTTGCTGCACAGGGATTGTTTTTTATAGCAACATCTCCAGGGCCTCGCCATCCCCATTTTTAGACATGGAGAAGAGGCAAAGGGAGGTGCTGCTGCTCTCGGGTGCCCTGAGGAACATCCAGGGAGCCCCGGGCAGGGCTGGGATCATCCTGGAGCAGCTCTGAGCCCCCCCAGCCCCACAGAGAGCAGAGGAAAGTTGGAAACTCTGCCCGTGGGGAGAGCAGGGTCTGCCCAGCCAGCTCCTCACTGCCTGACTGCCTGGGGATTAGCAAAGGTCAGCCTGCAGAGCCCTGGCCCTCCCAGCCTCTTCCTCTGCTGCAGGTTGGGAGATTTGTGTTGGTTTAGCCTGATCTGTGAGCGCATGGAAAAAATCCCAGCCAGACTGGGGGAGCAGAATTGAAATCCCACCCAGACTGGGGGGGCAGAATTGAAATCCCACCCAGATTGGGGAGCAGAATTGAAATCCCACCCAGACTGGGGAGCAGAATTGAAATCCCACCCAGACTGGGGAACAGAATTCCTGCAGCAACTGTCACGGGGCTGGCAGAGGGACAGCAGCTCCCCACCCTTGGCTGGGAATTTGGGGATCCTGGTGGGCACCAAGCTCCTTCCCAGCCCAGCCTGTGCCCTGCTGGCCCTGGCAGAGCCGGGTGCTGTTCCCCCCCTGCTCCTGCCTTTCCAGGCTTTTCATCCCTGCCTGCCTTCACTTTGCCCTGACAACTTTTCCTGTGCCGTGCAGGATGTGGGAGGGCTGGGAGCTGCAGATAATGAGCAGCCCTGGCTCTGCTGAGCTCTGAGATTGCTGCTGCTGCTCCAGCTCTGCCTCCCCCTGCCTGTGCTGGCTGCTCCCGAGCCTGAGCGCTCACAGCTGGCAGCTCCTGCTCCCAAACCCCCCATTTCACGGCTCTGGGTGCGGTTTGGAGGAGGAGTCATTGCATTTATCCCCGGGACATTGCAGTGTGCAGCTCCCTGGTGTGGGNCCTGCTGCTGAGATCCCTGGAATTCCTGCTGCTGAGATCCCTGCAGTTCCTGCTGCTGAACTTCCCAAAAAGCCCTCAGAGATCCCTGGAATTCCTGCAGCTGAGATCCCTGGAATCCCTGCTGCTGAGATTCCCAGGAAACCCTCAGAGATCCCTGCAGTTCCTGCAGCTGGGATCCCCTGGGAGCCTGCAGCTGCGATTCCCAGGAGTCCTGCCATTGAGATCCCCACGATTCCTGCAGCTGGGATCCCCAATATCCCTGCCATTGAGATCCCTGGGACCCCTGCAGCTGAGATCTCCAGGAGTGCTGGAGTTGGGATCCCCAGGAGCGCTGCCATTGCCATCCCCAGGAGCCCTGCCGTTGCCATCCCCAGGAGCCCTGCCATTGAGATCCCCAGGATCCCTGCAGCCGAGCTGCCCAGGATCCCTGCCATCGAGATCCCGTGTGATCCCGCAGCTGGGCTGCCCTGGGAAGCTGCAGCTGAGCTCCCCAGGGCCGTCAGCCCCCTGTGCTTTGCCGAGGGGGCCTCTGGCAAGCCCAACTCGCTGGATGTGACCTGGCCCGAGATGTACGAGTACCTGTTCTGTGACTCCCAGGAGGAGGAGGAGCTGGGCAGCTCCCTGGAGGGGCGCAGATCGCCCTTGCAGAGGGAAATCTCCTGGCCTGAGCTCTACGAGTACTTCTTCACCGAGCCAGAAGGAAGCAGGAAGAAAGGCAAAGCTAAAGACAGGAAAAGAAAGAAGTTCAGAGGCCTGGAGCGCCCTGGGCTGCACCAGGAGGCGCCCAGCCCTGCTCCAGACAAGGACACCGTGGTTATCTCGGTCCCTGATGTGCATGAACGCTTCTTCCCAGAGCCAGCCCCCAACAGGATGGGCTGGAGAGGGATTTTCTCCCTGGCCCCGGCCTCAGAGGTGAAGAAAGCCGTGAGGGCTTTGGGCTCCCTGCTGCAGAGGCAGGCCCAGCTGGGAGGAGGCCAAGCCCCAGGCTCCCAGGCCCTGGTGCCCAGAAGATCCGGAGAGGAGCTCGCCCTGGTCCCGCTGGGAGGAGCCCAGGGCTGGCCAGAAGATGAGGACAGGGCCCTGGCACTGAGAGGTAAATCCTGTTGTCCCCTGGGGGGACCTGCCACAGGCTGTGTCACCCAGAGGGATGCTCCATCTGTCCCTTGGGGTCTCCCTTGGGATGTTCCTCCCTCTGTCCTTTGGGATGTTCCTCCCTCTGTCCCTTGGGATGTTCCTCCCTCTGTCCCTTGGGATGTTCCTCTCTCTGTCCCTGTGCCAAGCCAGTGCTCCTGGCCTGGTCCCCCAGCACGGACAGGGAATGTGGGACTGTAAAACCCACCCTGAGCAGACAAACACCCTCTGGAGACCTCAGAGGTCACCTGAGCATTGCTGCTCCTGGGGGCAGGTGAGAGAAATGGGAATAAAGGGAGAAGTTTGATCCACCAGGACAGGCAGGGGTTTGTCTTTGAGCTTAAATGATGCTCAGAGTTAATCCTCAACCCAAACACTGAGGGAGCCATCCCAAAGGGAGCCTCAGCATGGAGCTTCCAGTCTGAAAAAAACCCTCTGAGGTGGTCACAGCTAATTAATAAGGCAGCTTTAATTGAAAGCCTGATCAAATGAATAGGAGCAGACAGAACCTGATCTGAAGCTGTTGCAGGCTGGCTCAGGGAATAGGAGGCAGGATGGGTGGGATATGGACACTGAGCACTCTCAGATGCTGTCCTGGGGCTGGGTGGGTGTGCCTGGGGACAGGAGGGGACCGTGCCTGTGTCCCCAGGAACTGCTGTGTCCCCAGTCTGCCCCCCAGACCCAACTGCAGCCACCACAGAGGGCTGGGGCAGCCTGGGGTGGCCTCAGCAAACATTTCCTTGGGGTTTTTAATAGAGTGAAGGACTGAGGAGTTAAAAACCCCATTTCCTTGGGGTTTTTAGCAAAGTGTAGGACTGAGAGGAGAGGTGACAAATGTGCCCCTGTCCCTTGGGAACGCACAGAGCTCTCTGATGTCCCCCCTGGTGCCCAAAGACCTCCAGGGCTGATTTCCCAGGGGGTTGCTGTGGCAGAGGGGGTGGCGCAGAGCCCCCAGCGCCTCGTGCTCCTCTCGTGGCAGGAGCAGCAGAGGAGCAGCCCCGGGTGCTGAGCCACAAAGACATGTGCCTGGTGTTCTGTGCCTTCGCCTCCTGGGCTGTGAAGACATCTGACCTGCAGGCTCCGGATGCCTGGAAGACCAGTACGTACAGTGCCAGCCTGGAGAGGGGTGGGAGGGCTCTGGGGGACGTTGGCAGGGAGGAAAAATGGGATATTTATACCTGCAGCTGCCTCTGGGGAAGTGCAGCTTTTCCTGGTGTTCCAAAGCCATTTCCGTGCCTTTTCTCTCCCCTCTGATCCCATTCCTGCTCGTGTCTTTTGTGCTTTCCCCAAAAGCAGCTGCTGCCTCCACAGCCTTGGTCCTGCTCCATCCAGGGTCCCTGACAGGGCTCAGCTTGGCAGGAATTCCCTAAGACCTCCTTAGGCTCCCTCATCCCAGCAGGAGCAAAATTCCCAACACAACCAGTCTCACAGCAAGGCCAAGCCTGCCTGTGTTTTTTTGTCATCACCAAAGTTGAGGTTAAACCTTCATCCAGCACCAAAATTCCCGTGTTTTTCTGAGGTGCTCAGAAGGTTTAATCTTCCCCCCAAAGAGGAGGAGGAAGTTTTATCTTCTCCCCATCGTCCTCCTGCACTGAGCCCTGCAATTCCCTGGGGATCTGTGGGATCCTCTCCTCTCCAAGCCCAGCACCTGGAAGCTGGTGAGGAGAGAGGAAGCTGAGGAAACAGAAATTCACAGAATCCCACAGGAATGGGGATGGCTGGATGAGCAGGGCTCAGGCAAAGCAGCATCCCTGATTCCCTGGAACCCTTGGAGAGCCCTTCCAGAGCAGCATCCCCAATCCCTGCCCCGCAGAGCCCCTTCCATGGGAAGAAATGCCAGGATGGAGGCTTCCTGCTGCTCCTGCAGGCGAGGAATGTTCCCTGCTAAGGTCAGCAGGCAGCTGACACCGGGCTGGGAATAGCTCCTGAGCTCAGGCTGCTCCCTGCCCTCATCCCCAGCAGCTTCTGGCCTGCTCCCCGTCCTGCTGAGGGTTTGGGATGGAGGAAATGTCCCTAGGAAAGGTGTGGAAAGGGGGGCAAGCTCCTCATGGAGGATTTGGGCTTCTAACAAGCTGAGTTTGTGTTCCTATAGCTCATAAATCAAAATCCAGTCTGAATTTAAAGTGTGGGGTCTAAAAACACGGCTTGGATTCCTGGTTTTGCTTGAGAATCAAGGGAACTTAATGTCCCTTATAAAGCAAATCAAAACCATTGGGTTCAAGGACAGAGCAGAGCTTGGTTTGGGTTTCACCCCATTAGTTATTTCTTGTGTCCCTACATCTTTTGATTCTCAGCTTTGGATATTTTCTGCTTTTGGCTGGGGCCAGAAAATCCCCAGAAAATCCTCAAAGTGGGATTTTGGAGGGAGGGAGGGAGGGAGGGAGCCCCGGAGCAAATTCCGTGTGCTGGGAATGCAAACCCCGGGCAGGAGTGGGGACAGGGAAGGGACAGGAGCGACCCCCGCGTGTCCCCCCGAGCCCTTCGGGACCGGAGCGACACTGGCAATGTCCTGGGCTGTTTTCCAGTGTTCCTGGCGAGCTTTGGCACCCTCTCGGCCATCCGCTACTTCCGAAGGACGGTCAGGGAAGGGCACCCCCGGACTNTGCTCGGGCATCAGGTGGTACTTGAGCGCCTCGATCAGCAGGTCCTTGCACTCCGAGTGGTGCCGCACCAGCAGCTCCGTGTCCACGTGGCTCATCAGGAAATCCCGGCTCAGCAGTGGCAGCCGCACGCACTTCATCAGCTGGGGGGACAGCAGAGCAGGGAGTGGGACAGGGGCACTGCAAGGGGACAGCTGAGAGCAGGGAGAAACTCCTGGGGCTGCCCCATCCCTGGAACTGGTAAAGGACAGCTTGGAGCAGCCTGGGATAGCCAAAGGTGTCCCTGCCCATGGCAGAGGGATGGGGGAACTGAAAGGGGACAGGCTGAGATCAAGGAGAAACTCAGAGGATGGCCCTGGGGCTGCCCCATCCCTGGGAGTGCTCAAGGACAGCTTGGAGCAGCCTGGGATAGCCAAAAGCGCCCCTGCCCATGGCAGAGGGTTGGAATGAAATGGGATTTAAGGTCCCTTCCCACCTGGACTGGAAGTGTAGGACAGGGACCTGCTGCTCCTGCCCTGTCCTGCGGCTTCCTCCAGCCCAGGCACTCGGAGATGGTGGGCACAAGCAGCCCCCTTCCAGCACTCTCATCTTTTCCCAGCCCACCCTCAGCCCGTTCCCAGCACCTCACCCTGGGCACGTGCTGTCTCCTGCTGTCCACGTCGTGTTTGACCCAGCTGAGCACGGCCCTGTACACCTCCTCCTCCGAGGGCACGTTGAGGCTGTCGCTGGAGATGAGGTCCAGCACCTGGGGAGGGCAGAGCTGCTCGGTGTGCAGGCACTGCCAGCTCCCAGCACAGCGAGCAGCAGTGCCAGGGGCACAGCTCTGCCTCCTGGACGTGCTGGGGGCTCCAAACAGTGACTGGGTGCCCCAAAGGCAGCAGGTGTGGGGACATCTCTGACCATTCTCTCTCCCTGGCTCTTTTCCCCTCACTGTGGCGGAGGCTGCTGCAGTGCCTGACAATTCTCCCTGATGTCAGTGGCAGCAGGGAGATGACTCTACTGGCATTTGTCCCTTCTGTATTTCCTGGGACAGACCCGGCAGCCCTGGCTGCTCCCAGCACTGTCCCTTCACCTGCCAAGGGCTGCAGAGCTGCAGCAGGGGCAGATGGGACGCTCCCCTCATTGTCACCTCCCCCTGCCCCGGGGATGGGTGACAGAAACCCATCCCCTCAGTGCACATCCCTCAGGCTTTATCCTCACACACAGAGCAGGACAAGCTGTGCTGCACCCTGACCTGCACATTGCCAGCAGGGCCTCTGGCACAGACATCTTTTATGGAAAATCCTTTCCTTAGGATTTTTTCTCCTGTGAAGCTGAGAAGCCTCAGGAATAAAATTATCTGCTGCTGTGGAATGCAACAGGTGGATCTGTGATTGGTCTCATGTGGTTGTTTCTAATTAATGGCCAATCACAGTCAGCTAGCTCGGACTGTCTCAGTCAGTGATTTATCATTTCTTATAATTTCTTATTCTATTCTCAGCTAGCTATTCTCAGCCTTCTGATTAAATCCTTTCCTTTTAGTATAGTTATAATATATATCATAAAATAATAAATCAGCCTTCTGAACGAGCCATGCTCGCTCAATAACAGCTGCTTGTAAGGAGCTCGCTTGGATTTTGGGAGGGCAAACTTAAATTCATTTTGCTTGGTTTTTCTTGCTAGACCATGATGCAAACTTAAATTAATTTTGCTTGGTTCTTCTTGCTAGACCATGATGCAAAAGGCACAAGGGTTGTTTTTTGCTGTTTATAGCTCAGTTTTCATTATTATTTCACCTTTCCCTTACGGTACGCAGTCTCAATCACGCCAATGGCGTCTTTGCATGGAGTCAACACTCTCGTCTGTTCCCTCATCCTGGGACCCTGTGAACACCACTGTCACAGGCCTCACCTGTTTGAGGGGCAGCAGCATGAACTCCTCAGTCTTGGACACCTCCACGAAGTGCTGGAGCACGTACTTGTGGGCAGACTTGAGCAGGTCGCTGCACGAGTGGGTGTCAGCAAAGCCGCGGATGCCCAGGCAGTTGGAGGGGTCCAGCTGGCTGAGCAGGAACTTGCAGCAAGCATCCCTCACACCATTGAGCTGAAGCAGGCTGGCAGCAGGGAGAAGGGTCTGGCAGGGTGGAAAAGAACGGGGCAAAAGGGAGTTCCCAGGGCAAGGAAACGATTTCACCCTCGTCCCACTGCGAGGCACGAGCAGAGCAGGTTTAGTGAGTGAGCACCTCCAGGCACAGAAAGGACAGAGCACTCCTGGGAGAAGAACAGCTGGGGAGGACACCTGTAACTCCCCCCAGGGCCAGGAGAAGGGCAGGTGCTCAGGAACAGGGCTGGGAACGGCACAGAGCTTTGAGAAATAACCTCTGGGAAGGGAAGGGAAGCAGCTCCCTGACCACTGCCAGCCCCAGCTGCCACCACAGCACAGCTGGCAGAGCTGAGCAGGACAGAGGAGTCTCAAAGAGGAAAATGTGGAACAGAACAGCTTTGTGGAGCAGGGGGAACAGCTCCTACCTGCACATTGCCCTCTCCCACCACGATCTCAGCCGTGTAGGCGTACTGCACCAGCTGCTCCAGCGCCTGCGGGTCGATGTCGTGCAGTGTCACATGGGTCTGGCGGCTCTCACTCATCTCATCTGGGCCAAAGGACACCCAAAATGAGCAAAACCCCCCCAGCAGGGCTGTTCCCCCACAGGAGGATGTGTGGGAGCAGCTGCATCCACCTCTGCATCCCAGCCCAGGGAGGGTTTCTGTCCAGCTCTGGGGAATGGGGACCAGGACTGCAGGAGGGACACCAGGGTCCTGGGCAGGGAGGGACACCAGGATCCTGTTGAGAGGGACATCAGGATCCTGAGCAAGAATCCTGGGCAGAGAGGGACACCAGGATCCTGGGCATGGAGCTGTGGGCAAAGGGAATCAGGGAAGGGAGGGGAATGGAGGATTAAACCATGCATGGAACAAGTGGTTTGTTTCTGGAAGGTTTCCTGCCCAGCTCTAGGGACTGGGGGGCAGATCTGCAGGACGGGGGACAGGATCCTGTACAGGAGGGGGACACCAGGATCATGCACAGGGGCAAAGGGACTCAGGGAAAGCAGTGAAATGAGGAATATTCCTGCTCTTGCTGACACATGAAAGGGCAGGGCAGTGAGAATGGGAAGGGGACAGAGCAGGGAGGGGATTTTGAGAAGGGAGGGATTTGGAGAGGGGAGAGCTGCCAGCCTGTCCCTGGGGAAGAGAGGACTCTACTTGCTTGTGAACATGGCGTGGAAGTAGGGGCTGCACGACGCCAGCACCACCTTGTGGGCCTTGATCTCCTTGGTGGCCACGTGCAGGACGATGTCGCAGAGCAGCCCGCGCTGCCGCATGCGGTTCATGCACACGAAGGCGTCGTGGTAGTGGCGTTTGGAGTTGTGGGAGATGCTGTGCCCGNAAATAAATAGAGGAAGTTAAAGGCTGGGCAGAGTTAAAGGAATAAAGTGGAGTTTAAAGTAAATAAGGGAAGTTAAAGGCTGGGCAGAGTTAAAGGAATAAAGTGGGGATTTATTAAAAGGCCTTAAAAGGATACACCTTGAGCAGAACAAGAGCTTGGCTGAGGTTACGCCCAAGACGGACTCTGAGTCATGGTTTTTCACCCTTTTATAACTTTTGGTCCATTTCTATATTGGGGCTCACTGTCCAATTCCAGCTCCAGGTTCTGCAGTCCCACTCTGCCAGTTTGCTCTCCTTCATTCTCTGCTGTTTGCACTTTTTGAGCCTTTTGGGCCCTTTTGTTGTTTACACTTTTTGGGCCTGAAGCTGCAGCAGCACCCTTGGTTCTGGGGCTGGAAAATGATTGTTCTGTGTGCCTGAGCTGTGAGGAGAAATTGCTGACACTTTATATGGAGTTCAGGGTTGCCCAACATCCTTTGGGGAAGAACCTTTCCCTGATCTCCATCCCAAACCCTCCCTGACACAGCCTGAACCTCCCCTGGCTGCTCAGGAGCAGCCCCAGGAGCCAGGGCAGGGACAGTGAAGGATGCACCAGGCAGGATCCAATATCCAAGAAAATGTCTTTATTGTACACGTTGGCTTCTATTGCTTGTATCCCCTCCCCAGCCCCATGTAGTGCAAAAAATTCAGAGAAAACAGAGTTCCACATAAATAAAGGTACAGAGAAATCAAAGTGACGACGCTCGGACATGGATCTGGACCAGGTGTGCCCAGCAGGGAGGCCCAGGGAGCCCCAAACCAGGGCAGGGGCTCCAGCCTGGCCCTGCTGGGGAGGACCCCAGAGCCCGGAGCCCCCCGGTTTGGGGATGCTCCTCTGCTGGGAGCTCAACAAGGAACATCTTGGGCGAGACAGCACGGACTGAAACTGGCAGGGAAGCCACAGAGTTGTTCTCCTCCCCTCAGACAGCACAGACAGACAGACAGACACAGACAGGCGTCCCCTCCTCCTCCTCCTCCTCCTCGGCAGGGGACGGGCAGCACCAGGAGCGATCCCACCCTGGCACGTGCCAGGGCAGGCGCTGACACCTCGTGTCCACACAGTGTGGGTCGGGGGGCTGGGGACCCCCAGAAGGTGCTGGGGGGTTGTTTTTGCCCTTTCCTGCATAGTTTGGGCAGCACAGACAGGAGGTTCCCTCTCGGCTGGGTTCCCATGGGTCGGGCTCAGTGGGATATTGCTCAGGAGCCAGCCAGGGCACACAGGAGCCACTCTGCCCTGTCCCTGCTCCTCAGGAAGCAGCATCTCCTGCTACCTGAGAATTCAGGCCCACAGGAACCACAGGAGTGAAATCTGAGCTCTGTGAGTGAGAACTGGGGAGCAGGGGGGGGAAAAAGGAGGAAGGAACGAGTTCCAAACAGTTGGACCATATTTCCAATGCTACATTTGAACATTTGGGCACATTGAGGTACCAGCGGTTGAGTCGTTCCTCTGCGGTGTGCAGAGCACCTGAGCTGCGCCTCAGCTCACGGCTTACACACACAGCACACCCTGAAACACCACAGCACGGGGCCCTGGCTCTGGACAGGCCTCACAGCGCTAATTTAGCCAAGCTTTAGCTCATTAGAGGGGTTGTTTAATTGCCAGGGAGTCGCTGATTGGAAAGGGTCCCTCCCGTGCTGCTTTTGGCATCTCACACATGCACACACCCCACCTATCCAGAGAGAACCTCCAGGGCACAGGAATCATCTCCTCAACAGACGAGAGAAGGAACTGCACCCCTCCTGCTGCCTGGAGAGCAGAGGGATGGGGAGTACCAGGGCAGAGTAAAAAACAAAGGGATATGGAGTCATATTAGCGTTCAAATAAAAAAAGGCAAATAAAAAAATTAATACCCAAAAAAGTAATGCCAGGCAATCCCTCCTGTTCAGAAGGCCGGACTGTTCTTCCTCCAAGAACTGATTCCTTTCCACAAACCCAGAGTCTGCTTTGCAGAGAGGGGAACAGCAAACCCAGGGAGTCCCAGTCCGGAGCCTGGGCCAGCAGCGATGGCAGCGGTGCCACCAAGGGTGCCACCAAGGGTNCCGTGCCCCGGGCAGCCCTGCCCTTCCTGATTCCCTTCCCAGGCTCCTGCTAATCCGCGTCTGCTCCGTGGGAATGAATCATCCCACCTGCCAAAGCTCGCTCAGCTTCTCCCTTCCCTCCCAGGCTTCTCCTTTCCCTCCCAACCTTCTCCTTTCCCTCCCAGGCAACCCAGGAACAAAAGATCCCACAGGAAAGGTGTGGGGGAGATGCCCCCACATCCCTGCAGCACCCCTGGCTGGGCCAGGTCCCCTCCACACCTGCACGCAGGTGCTCATCCCTTCCCAGGGCTCTCAATGGGGCCAAGCTGCTGCTGCAGCCCCCAGACCCAAACCCAGCGTCCCTCCTGAATTCTGTGCTTGGGGAGGGTGGGGATGAAGCCCTGGAGCAGCAGGGAGGGGTTGGAGGTGCTGGACATTCTTGCCTTGGCTGGGATGTACTGCAGGATTTTGTCCGTGCTCGTGTCTCGCTCCTGGCCTCCATCGAGCCCAAAGAAGCTGGGCAGCTTTTTCTTGCCATTTTGTCTACAGAGGAAAAAGGGGAAAAAAACCTTAAACACACATGGAAACACAGGTCCAGGCTGGGGCATGGTGAATCCTGCCCTGAAACAAGGAAGCCAGGACACCAGGCATGCAATGTGTCACGGGTTTTCGAGTCATCCCAGGGATGACAAAGCCTGGGAGAACTGAAAAGGGACTTTGCTCCATTTGTTGAGGTTTTTCTGCTTTTCTACAGCTCTTTGCTCAGCCAGATCACCAGCTTGGCTCACCTGTGCCCCCAAATCCTCACAGGGCCGGGATGTTCCATGGCAGAAAAGACCCAAAGAACATAAAAACCCAGCTCCTGCAGAGCCCCTGGGTGGGGATGGATCCTCAGGGCAGATATTCACAGGCAGGGCTCATTTCTGCCCTGTGGGTTCCCCCTGCCTCCCACTCCCACTCCCAGCTTCTCCCTGCGTGCTCACCAGTCCCAGGCAGCCACTGGTGCTGCTGGGAGTGCTGGGATTTCCTCAGATTGCAGCACAGACCCAGGACAATCCCCAGGAGCGTGGGAAGATGGGAGGCAGGGGGACAGGAGGGGCTCTGGGGCTTGGGAGCTTCACACCGGGCCCTGGAGAGAGACCCCTGAGCCCAAACATCCCAAGAGATCCCCTCATTTTTACCCCAAATTCCCCGAGAAATCCCCTCTCTTTTACCTCAAATTCCCCAAGAAATCCCCTCTCTTTTACCCCACAGGAGCTCCTCAGGCCCCTACAGGTTTGTCCCTGATTTCTGGCAGCACGGGGGACAGTTCAGGGTCTCCTTTCAATCAGAAACCCCCCAGCCTGGCAGAGTTTGGGGTATTTTGGCACAGCCCTGACCGTGAACCCAACCCAGACAGGTTCATGAGGAATCCCCTGGTTCCCTGCAGGGTTCCTTTCCAGCTCTGGCCATGCTGTGGGAGCAGCGGGAAGCTGGGAAGCTGCAGAGCATTCCCTGCCTGTCCCTATTTTGGGACAGCCACGTCCCTGAGTGTGGCCACCCAAATCCCCAAAGGGTTTCACAGACATTTTCTGCTGCTCCCCTTTGGGTTCACAAACACAAGTCCTACAGTGGAGCGCTGGGATTTGGGGCTTTCTCCCTAAAGCCCGAGGAGCGGGAATGTTGTTTTCTCACGAGTGTGAATAAGAGCTCTCCCAAGTGCAAACAAGGGGATATCGGGTGTTCTGCAGCCTGTCCCGCGGGGGAAGCTCAATTACCCAAACAGAAATGAACCCAGCGGCGCTTCCCCCGTGAATTCCATCCCGGGCTCTCGGGGCGAGCCGATCCCGGCTCTGGCAGTGCCCGGCACCCCCAAACCCACCGGGAATAGGAAACCCCCGCCGGGGAGATCCCGCAGGAGATCCCACAGCCCGGAGCCGGTTGGGGTTACTCACTCCTTTTTCAGCGAGGGCTTCCTTCGGAAGGAGCTCCTGAAGCCGCCGGGAGCCTGCGGGACACAGGCGATGTTCCCCATGTCGGGAGCGGTGCGGGATCGGTGTGAGATCGGTGCGGGATCACTGTGGGATCAGTGCAGGAGCGGTGCGGGATNCCCAGTGAGATTCCTGCTGCCTCCTGCACATCCCAGCAGGATTCATGCTGTCTCCTGCACATCTCAATGGGATTAACTAACCTTAACCCTTCTGCACATCCCAGTGAGATTCCTGCACATCCCAGTGATATTCCTCCTGCATGCTGGTGCTGAGCCACCCTCTGGATAAACTCCTACGTCAGAGATCTCACCAGCATCCCACAGATCACCCCAGCATCTCCCCCTGGCTGGTTCCCACCTCTCCCAGGGCCTTTTCCCATCGGAGCACTGGGCTGAGCCCCATCTCAGCCCTTTCCCTGCCCCAGAGCCCTGTGGTGGCTGTGGATTTACAGAGCAGAGCTGCAGGCAGGGGAAGTGCAGCAGCCCCCTGCCCTGACACGCCTCTGGAAAAGCAGGTTCCCGTCCCAGGCTGGTGAATCAGCACCGTGGGAAGGGAACGGGGGCAGGTTTAGGGTTTCAAAAGAGGTGAGCTCATGGGAGAGCCCAGCCCAGGCCCCTTTGTGGGGTGCCCCGTTCCCAGGAGATGCAAACAGCACTTTCCCAAAATCGGGCTGTGCCTGGGGCGAGTCCCAGCTGCTGGAAAACGCCATCCAGAGCTGCTCTGGGATGGGCAGNGGAAGGGATCCACAAGGATGAAGAAGTCCAAAATCCATCCCTGTCCTTGTGCCAGTCACAGGCCGTGTCCAGCCTCTGCTTTTGAAGGAATTCAATGTCATTTTTTGCCTGTATAATGCCTTGTATTCAAAATGTAAATAATTGAAAATAATAGAAAATAAATATTTTATAATAATATAAAATAAATAATAAAAACAATAGAAAAAATAAAATTAAAATAATAATAAAAAAATGAAAATAAGAATAAAAATAATTAAAAATAATGAAACGAAAATAATAACAAAAATAAAATAATAACAAAAAGAATTAAAATTAATAAAATGAATATAATAATAAAATATATAAAAATAAAATAAATGAAATTAATAATAAAATAAATGAAAATAATAAAAAGAAAATAATAATAATGGAATAAATTAAAATAATAATAAAAAGAAATAAATAATAAAAAAATTAAAATTAACTAAATGAAAATAATAATAGTCAAATAAATTAAAATAATGATAAAATTAATTATTTCAATATTCCCCAGGGATCAGCAGCTTGCTGGCAGCATCGAGCAGAGCCTGCCGTGTCACTGGGCTGTCACACAGGTGGGTTCCCACCCCAAACTGCAGCATCCCGTACCTGGCTGGGCTGTGGCAGCCTTGAGCCCACCGAGAAGCTCTCGGAGCCCGAGAGGGAGGAGTCGGCGTTTCGGAACTGGGCGGTGTTCAGGCAGTAGAGCCACTCCTGGTAGTCCTGGTAGCTGGCACAGGTCACCCGGATGGAGTTTATCAGTCGGCCTGGAAAACATCCCCACACTGCTGATCCTGGGCTGGACCCCGAAAAACATCCCCACTGCTGATTCCCCCCTCAAAAATCCCCGAAAAACATCCCCACACTGCCGATCCCGGGCTGGACCCTCAAAAATCCCCGAAAAACATCCACACTGCTGATTCCCCATTCAAAAATCCCCAAAAAACATCCCCACTGCTGATTCCCCCCTCAAAAATCCCCCTGCTCCATCCTGCCCTGCATTCCACAGGGTCTGGAGGTGCTGGGAATGCTCTGCCCTGCTGCCAGGACACACAGCATCCCAAATTTCCCTGGCTGCCCCACAGGAGGGTGGGCACAGCCCCGAGCCCTG